TCTTTCATAGAGGTAAAACTCAAGGTTTCAACTTCGTTTAAAGGAAGGACTCTTGTGATCTTGATTTGTCTACCTTTTTGAACACACAAACTTGCATCCCTATTTTTCCAATTAGAAAAACTAATGTGTGTGTCTGGAATGCTCTGTTTCTTTCTTGGTATTTTGTAATAGAACATTTTCATGAGTCAAAATCCTTTTAGTGGAGTGTTCATTATAGCTAAAAGTAAGAAAATGGAATTTCTTGTTCCATTCAAGGACCTGCTGTACTTTTTTATTTGTCCTGAACTAAAGTCTGCTGATTTCTTAGATGCTGCTTTTTGAGCTGAATATATGTCTTTATAATTACAGCCTGCATCAGCCGCAACTGAAAATTATATCCCAAGGACAGGTCAAATTCAATAAAAGACACAATAATACCCTGTCCATTAAGAATTTTGAACTTACAGTGGTGATATATGCAGGCCTGTAATTCCAATACCAAAAAGACTGAGTGCAGGAGGAAATAAATAGAACTAGAAGCTCTCCTAGACTCAGAAAAGAAATTAAAAGGATTTAAATTTGCATTTAGTTAATATTAGAACAATGCTAGATGTCACAATTTGCACCCGAATAAACTGCTGTAATTCATCAAAACCAAGCCCGGTCTAAGCTGTAATTTTAAGTAATGAAAAATTTATGTTGATCAAGGAAAAGTAATAAAAAAAAAAAGAAGAGCAGCATAGTTTTAAGATGGGTTTGATTTTTTTTTTCCAAGACCAGGTTTATCTATGTAGCTTTGGAACCTGTCCTGAAACTCACTCTGTAGACCAGGCTGGCCTCAAACTCACAGAGATCCACCTGCCTCTGCCTCCCAAGGGCTGGAATTAAAGGTGTGCCCCATCACTGCCTGACCATGGATGGGACTGATTTTTATTCAGAGAAATTAAAGCAATTTAATAGTTAAAAAAGGAAACTAGCAGATGAGCTTTGTATAAAGCATCAATAATTAAGCCAATGGAAGAACAGTGGGTACACAGATTGCGTGGGAGAACAGGCTGTGTGACACAGAAGGCATCTGGGAGACCTCACAAGAGGAGGATGAATGATAGCCTAAAGTTTGCTCAGTTCACTTAAGAACAACCTCTAAAACCGAAGAGTCATCAACACAAGTTCAAAGTTGGTGGAAGAGAAGTAGTCAATAGTGATGTCTTGATTATATAAAACTCACACCTACAACAGACTAGCTAGGTCTACCTTCCTGATAGGCCTTCCCATGCAGGAGGCACTGGAAAATGAAATCTATCAAAAATGAAGCACACTGGGTAGGTGGTGACAAAGAGTTGGAGGGGAGGGAGAGGGAGTGTGAGAACGAGAACGACTGCCTATATGGTCACCCAATATAGATATAGAACAAATATGAAAATGCTAGATACATATGAACATAATTTGATTCAGCTATATGTATAATTTGGTGAAAAATTGGTAAGAATTAGCAATAATATATTATTATTATACCATCTCCTATGGCATAAGAAATTTTCAAGGGAAAATAAAACACAATTTCCAAAGAATACTATTCAGGACTGTGGAACAACTTCTAATGAGGTAAATATGTATAAAGGGAAAATTATGGAAAAGAATAAATACAAATGTTTTCAGAGGGAACAGACAAATCATTAATTGCTATGAATGTTATCAAATTAATGTGGGACTACCACACAGAACCAAGAAGCTTGGAGATGACCAAGCAAGATAAAAAGAAAATCAAAACAACAGACGGACATGTCACTTTCAAGAGACCAAAATTAAAGGAAAAAAAAAAACCAAAAGAGGTAAAAAGTGAAAAATCATCTTTCAGAAGGACCTAAGGTAAGAATTATTTTTAATTTCTCAGAATCCACCCATTGAAAATGAGAGTGAAGGGTGGAACTTTTGATTATAAAACCAAACATTAAATTTTAAAAAAGTCTAGAATTGACATTGTTGTGAAAGAATCTCATAAAAGCAATGGAAAGTGAGAAATTCCTTCCAGAAAAACATTGAGAAATGTGCTGAAATCAATTGTGCCTGGCAAAAAACATGAAAAGGATTAACTCAGAGAGAAAATCATGAACCAACATAGGTCATGGAGTTATCCTGTATAAAGGAAGAACTAGGGGAATGGATCATTTAAAAAGGTTTTTCTTAGTTTTCATTGACCTAAAGTATAGTAATGTTTGAAATAAAAACAACTTATTTGTGTTTATACACATGCAATGCATTTCCACATATTGAAAGCATTGGGTCCGGAGGTGGCTTATTGAGTAAAGACTGCACCACTTGGTCACACGAGTTCCAACCCCAGAACCCACATAAAAGCAGAAGGAAAACATTGGTTACAGAAAGTTTCCCTTTGACTGCTGCACTTGTGTCCTCACCAGCATACACACACATGTCCATGTGCAAGTGCACACGTACATGCGTGTGCATGCATATACAAACCCACACACACGAATACCATTTTTTTTAACTTTTTTTTTTTTTTTAAGATTTATTTATTGTGTATACAATGTTCTGCCTGCATGTATCCTTGCAGGCCAGAAGAGGGCACCAGATCTCACTACAGATGGTTGTGAGCCACCATGTGGTTGCTGGGAATTGAACTCAGGACCTCTGGAAGAGCAGTCAGTGCTCTTAACCTCTGAGCCATCTCTCCAGCCCACGAATACCATTTTTTAAGAGAAAAAAATGTAACTCCTATAATATAGGTGATAGTCAGAAGAAATTAGAATCTTTGTTACCAGATGCCATAAAGTACAAAAGGATTATTTTAAAACTAAGTGGGAGTAGTTGTTAAGACATGTTTCTAAGTGTAAGGCAATGTATTAGAAAGATGAATAACATTTTTAGATGAAAAAAATGTATCATGTGAAATGTTCAATTAAAAAGAGTAGAAGGAAAGAAAAAAATTAAAATTCAGGTGTGAACCATAAAAAGCTGTAATGAGCATAGTATCTATCAATCACAATGTAGCAATAACTCTTTCAGTGTTGATGCTAAAATGCACCAATAAATGATAATGTCAGTGTGGTTTAAAAGCTAGTCTAAAATCATGTCTGTAAGAAATCCATCTGGGGCTGGGATCTTGGAGTTGGAAGGTTTTTCATTACTGTTTTAAACTATGGGTCTGTTTAATTTGTTGATATCTGCTTGGTTAGTTTAAGTGGAGTTATGTGTCTTGGGTGATAATGCACAGAACCACGGACTATCTAACAAAAGTCCCAGTACCTGGCACATGAAAACTCTCTGAGAGTTGCAGGTCTGGTGGGTCCAAGAGAAACCCAAAACAATGTAGGCTATCGTTGATGCTCTTGGTCATCTTCCAGAATCTGCCTAGCTCAGTTTTCATCACAGATGCTTCATCCAGCAACCGATGGAAACAGATAAAGACCCACAGCCAAACATTAGGCAGAGTTTTGGGGGAATCCTGCAGAAGAGTGGGAGAAAGGATTTTCAGAGCCATAGAAAACTCACAGAATCAACTAACACGGGGTTATAGGGGCTCACAGAGACTGAACTGACAACCAGGGAGCCTGCGTGGGACAGACCTAAGCATGCTGCATATATATTACAGTTGTGTAGCTTGGTCCTCTTATGGAACTCCTAAAAGTGGGAACTGTAACTGAACGTTTCCATGTCCTGACTGCCCAGTCCCAAATATCTGACTCAGAGGCTGAATATGAATTATAAATGCTTGGCCAATAGCTCAGGCATATTATTAATTAGCTCTTACATTTTAAGTTAACCCATATTTCTATGTATGCTTTTCCATGTGGTGGTAACGTTATTAGCGTGGCGTGTTCATCTCCTGCTCCCTCTGCCTCTAACTGGTGAATTCTGACTCTGCCCTTCTTCTTCCAATTATCCTTGGTTTGGTGGCCCCTGCCTATACTTCCTGCCTGGTTACTGACCAGTTAGCATTTTATTAAACCAATTCAAGTGGCAAATTTTTATAATGTGTAAGAGGATGATTCCACAGCAGGGAACAGGTGCTAATGAACAGAAAATGGCAACTGCTTAGAGACATTGAATTGTGGAAGAGGTTACCAAATTAACCAGCCTATATAATTTAGGGATGTCTTAACTCTAGAATGGAAGTCAGGAAATGTATCCTTGTAACTTAACAGTCTGGGATCACAGAAAGTAAAGGTCGGGGTAGATGGAAAGATGGAGGGAGAGAGAGGGGGGCAGAGAGAGAGGAAGAAAGAGAGAGAGAGAGCAAGAGAGAGAGAGGGGGGAGAGAGAGAGAGAGAGAGAGAGAGAGAGAGAGAGAGAGAGAGAGAGAGAGAGAGAGAGAGATCCTTTTGTGATATCTGATCAATCTCCTACAACCCTAAAGTGAAATACAGCCCTGTGAGGCAGCTGTAGACTTGGCTCAGAAAGAGAAATGAGGATGATACCTCTGAGCTAGGTTGTGAAAGATTTTAATCTTGTCAACTAACTATAAACTTCACATTTGATCTCATGGTTGGATAAAACTCTGGAACCAGCTATCAGCAATCCACTTGGCTATATTACCTCAAAACTCTGAAACACTGTGGTTCTGCTTGATACCTATGGTAGCGTTTCTCCAAGAAGAATTCTTGAAAGTGCACATCTTAATATTTTGATTCTTCCTCACACTCCCAGGGAAAATTACAGATGCTCCTTAGACAAATGTTAGTCACTGTAGGAAGGATGAGCAAAGAAGTCCAAGAAATGAGAGAAGCTGTCCAGGAAACAGGTTGCCAAAGCCAAGTGCAGCCAATAGAGGTCCGTGGTATGCAAGGAAGGAAATACACTTAAGTGAAAATAGCTAAGGCCAATTGTAGATGCAACCAACCTTCTTATTTTTTTTTTTTAAAGGAGATTTATTTAATGGCGTAACTTACAAATTAAGGGATAGGTAGATCGCGGGGTCTGGGGAAGGTGTTCTCTGGAGCTCTGCTTGGTCCACCTCCACTATCCAGGGTCCCAGAACCGAGTGAGCGCCCCCAGATCCAGATCTCGGGTCTCCAGGCACCTCCCTTGGCCCTGCCTTGTAGGTGTGACAGTTGCCGAAGTCTCAATGGGGGTTGGAACTTCCAGATCAAAGCTGGAATGGTTACCCACTACAGCAGACCTTCTAGGTTCCAAGTCCAAGTGGCTCAGGTAATAGCCTCATTTCCCCCAGGGCACTACTCCTTTGTGACTTCACCCACTAAGTCACCCCCGGAGACAGTGCTGAATGTTCCATGCTAGAGTCTTGGCCTCTTAGGAGGCAGGGACAGCAGGCCTGGCCAGCTCAGAGGACTCTCTGTCCACAGTGTAAATGAGGACGCTGCTGGCCCATGTCTGGCAGGGATGTAGAGGGCAGCCTCAGAGGCACTGGGCACTCCCGGCACCATGGATGACGCTGCCGTCCTCAAGCGACGAGGCTACATCATGGGGATAAACTTGGGAGAGGGCTCATATGCCAAAGTCAAATCCGCTTACTCTGAGCGCCTAAAGTTCAACGTGGCGGTCAAGATCATCGATCGCAAGAAAGCCCCCACGGACTTCCTGGAGAAATTCCTTCCTCGGGAGATTGAGATTCTGGCCATGCTAAACCACCGCTCTATTGTCAAGACTTATGAGATCTTTGAGACCTCTGATGGCAAGGTCTACATTGTCATGGAGCTTGGGGTCCAGGGTGACCTCCTTGAATTCATCAAAACCAGAGGAGCCCTGCAAGAGGATGATGCTCGTAAGAAGTTCCATCAGCTTGCCTCGGCCATCAAGTACTGCCATGATCTGCATGTTGTCCACCGAGACCTCAAGTGCGAGAACCTTCTGCTTGACAAGGACTTCAACATCAAGCTGTCTGACTTCGGCTTCTCCAAGCATTGTTTGCGGGATGATAGTGGTCGACTGACATTAAGCAAGACCTTCTGTGGGTCAGTAGCTTATGCGGCCCCCGAGGTTCTGCAGGGCATCCCCTACCAGCCCAAGGTGTATGACATCTGGAGCCTGGGTGTGATCCTCTACATCATGGTCTGTGGCTCCATGCCCTATGACGACTCCGACATCAAAAAGATGCTACGCATCCAGAAAGAGCACCGCGTCAACTTTCCACGCTCCAAACACCTGACTGGTGAGTGCAAGGACCTCATCTACCGGATGTTACAGCCAGATGTCAACCAGCGGCTGCACATTGATGAGATCCTCAGCCACTGCTGGGTGCAGCCCAAGGCACGAGGTCTGTCCTCTGCAGCCATCAACAAAGAGGGAGAAAGCTCCCGGGCCACTGAGCCCCCATGGACCCCTGAACCCACTGGTGCCGATAAGAAGTCTGCCACCAAGTTGGAGCCTAGGGAAGAGGCACGGCCCGAGGCCCAACCTGAGACAAAACTCCAGGAAGATGTTGTGCAAGTGGCCAAGCAGTCAGAGACCCTGGGCCTTAACAGTGAACTGAACAGGGAGACAGAGGAAGGGCACCCCCAACAGCCTCCAGAGACACATACCTAGTGAGCCTCTTGCAGCCCAGGGGGCCAGCAGGGAATGAGGCAGAGCTCATGACTTGAAGCCTGAGTCTAGAAGTCAAGGGAAGAGAGAGAGAAGGAAGACAGTCCCGGATGAGCTGCTATTTTCGTCACTTTCTTCTCCCCCCTTTGAACTTGGTAACTCAACATGGCTAGAGAAGCAATAAATCACTATATTGGTGCAGACCCTGGTCCTGGGCTCCCCTTGGCTTCCTATTAGACCGCAAATCCTCATAAGGAAATTCACTCCCATGCCCCCAGCCCAGACTGTATCCTCAGGCCATGGTTGAGTTAGCAGTAGCAGACAGAGGCTGGTTGGGAGGATTTAAGAGGGGCGGAGGCCAGGGAAGATAGCTAAGTGAGGAAGACACAACTTCTGGAGGGGAGCCGAGAAGTGCAGAGAGGGACAGGGCTGCCTGCAGAGGAAGGGCTGGAAACCAGAGCCCTCTCTTGCACCGGAGGGCTTGCACCGGAGGGCTTGCACCGACTGCATCAGGAGCTTAGGGGCTAGGCAGGTGTTTCATCATTACCCCAGGGCTTCTGGCTGCACAAACCTGCCTGTAGGAGGCTGAGGGAAGACTACGGAAGGCAGGTTGACCCCCATAGTACCTTTTGGGCTCCCCAAATTGCTTTGCAGCTGGTTTTTCAGTTCTGCCCATCAAGGGATATGTCCCTCCATGTCCAGCTGGCACCCAGTTCTCAACTATGCCTTTAGTTGCTCCACATCACCATTTCTCAGCCCAGAAGTAGGGGGCTCCACTAGTTAACCCAAGAATGTCCCACAGCTCTGTATAGCTTTGGCTGCATCCCATTCTCTTCCAATCTCAATCTGTTCCAGAGGAGATGCCCTCAGTCAGAGCTGGAAGCAGACCTTGGCAAAGCAAAATTGTCAGCATGTCTGAACCTTATAGGCAAGGGAGGCAGCTACTGGTATTCCACATGGGTGTGGCCTGCATCTGGCACCACTGGCTGCCATGTGCCGCTTGCCTTGCTGACACCATGTCCCAAGCAGTCCTCACCTTGCGGTTGTGGCTCCTTTCTCTTCACCTCACTCTGGGCAACCTCAGGGAGGTTTGCCAATTCACCTCTGAAGACTATGCCAATGTCCCTGGGCTCAGCCTAGGGACTCAGTCTTCTTCAAAGCCTCCTGGGACCAAGCAACGCTCTGTAGCCCGCCTCTGTGAATTTTGCCTGGGTTATGTCACTTCCTCTTGGAAGCCTTCTGTCCTGCCTCCTCCACTAGAAAGAGGCCTTCTTGCTTTCCCTCTGAACACAGCATCCTTGGGTCACATCTTGGCAGCTCACTGTAAGCGTAAGACTCCTGGCCGCAGCGGCTCGGTGACCGTGAGAACCAGCAGGAAGAGCAGCAGGAAGGCACCGCTGTCTGCCTTGGGCACCATTTATCCTCCATTCATCGTCCCCGGGGCAGCGGCGTGACCCCGCGGGGAGGCCGGACCTGGCCCAGATGAGGGCGTGAGGCCGGACTCCGGCCGGGGACAGAGAGGTGGCGGGCGAGGGATCCGGCTGGGCCGCGGCGACGCTGGGCAGCTGCAGGGGGACGCCGCCGACTCGTGCGCACTCTAGGCCGCAGGAGCGGGACGGGATTCCGGCTCCCCAACCTTCTTATTAAATAAGAAACACAGAACCAATGCAAAGAAGAAAGCCAAGAGGTCAGAGCTAAGAGCTAAAACCTTACCCTTCCTCCTGCAGTGGTCCTACCTCTCCAAACCAGAGCTACCCCTGTGTTAAAGTCTTTATATAGAGTTCCTGTTCTGCCTTCCCATTGGTTGTAAACCCAACCACATGACTGCCTCCTCAAGGCCTGTCTGTATAGGCCTCCAGGTTTTTCAAGATTGGTATTGATTAAAGACATGTGTATCCAATAATGGCTGTATCCCTGAACACACAGAGACTTACCCAGCTCTGCCTACCAAGTGCTGAGATTACAAGAGTACACCACCACTGCCCTGCTTTCCTATGTCTTGCTAATAGCTCTGACCCCCAGGCAACTTTATTTATTAACCTACACATAACAGCCAATAATGAGCATGTATATCCTACAAGCTCAATACCAGGCTAGCCCATAGGAAGGAAACAGTTTATAAACATTACTGCAGGCCACCTCTGTTTATAATCAACTATCACCAATGTTTGAGGTCCTAGAAGGAAGTTGCTCCAATGTTTCATTTCTTTCTTTTGTCTCTATGTTCTGTTTGCCATCACTCATTTTGTTTATTTTTCATTTTATTACACTTGTATTTTTATTTTTACTTTGCAGTATTTTTAAAAATGTTCTTACATTTTTACTTATCATAACTCACTTAATTTTAGCATTTTTCAAATTATTGCATGATTTTTCTTTTTTAACTTCATTTTCTTTTATGCATCCTACTTTACCCTTTTCAACATTTAAATACATTTTAGTCTTATTCTTGTTTTAGTTGTTTAAAATCATTTTTACTTTTATTTCTTTTTATACATATATCCATTTCTTTTTAAATCCTTGTTATTAGAATTCTCTTTATTTATTCTCTATTATCTCTTTTGATTGGCTGCTCTGTTTTCTTCATAAAACTCATATACACTGTTTTTCTCCTAGTATTTCATATTTCTAAACTCACTGCTCCTCATTATCCCTCCTGACCATGTCTCATTACTTTATTTCATCAGTTTACTATTTTCACATTTTTTTGCAACCATAACTTAACTTCATAAAACATTCTGTATTAACTTTTACAGTTTCTGTCTCATGGTCACGGGCAATACATCTCTAGTATTTAATAGATTTTATTTGTAGTACTAGATCTTGGACAGAATGATGTTTCAGTTACATCAGGTTTTCTTTCAATTCTCTGCCTCCTAATAGAGAGACAATTGGGATTGAGTCTCCAAAACAGGTTGCTAAGTAATATGACAATCAAATAAAACTGGAAGATACATCCAAACCAACACCCATAAACCAAGCCAGAGAAACAGGAATTAAAGAAAAATTGAAGCAACATTTTTCCTCTAAAAGATGGTATGTCTTCAATTACTAAAATTAAGATATTGAAATATATTATCTGTGGATGAAGACTTCAAAATTTTACTGTTAAAATTCAGAATGATCTGATAGAGGATACAAATGAGCAGAGGAATATAACCATGGAGAAGAATAACTGGAACAAAAGAGGGAAATGTATGAGGAAATCAGCAATGGGAGAAAACGAAAAAGTCTGCGACATGGAAGAAACATCCATCAAGTAACATTTGGATTTTAACAAAACAATCATATAAAACAAATACAATACGTGGAAGTGAAAAATTCACACAACCAAATAAAATTAGTATGTGATGTGTCATCAGTAGACATGACATTGCATAAAAGATAGCAAGGACCATTTGCATGTCCTAAAACACAAAAACTGGTGATTGGGACCTGGACACTGATAAGCTGTTCGTACTGTTGAATGGAGAGAATCTTTTAAATGAAACATATAAGAACTCAGAATTAGTACTTAGAATTTATATAGGTGGAGATATAAAGGAGTGGGAATATAATAATTATCAAGAGAGCATTAATTTGCTATAGTGAAATATAAAATGTGGGAAAATTTTGCTTGATTAAAAAATAAATCGCGCCGGGCGGTGGTGGCGCACGCCTTTAATCCCAGCACTCGGGAGGCAGAGCCAGGCGGATCTCTGTGAGTTCGAGGCCAGCCTGGACTACCAAGTGAGTTCCAGGAAAGGTGCAAAGCTACACAGAGAAACCCTGTCTCGAAAAACAAAATAAATAAATAAATAAATAAATCAAATTACAATCAGTGTTAGAAAATAAATCTTGTTTCAATCAATATCGTCCTTTATAAATGCAACTTTCAGAAAAGTAAGAGTCATTGTTACAATAAAAAAATACACATCCATTATATAAAAGTAACTATAAACATTAAAAATAAAACATATTTGTAAAGATTATTCATGATTATATTTGGTATTTGTTGCATTAGCAAAGTTAATTCATTTATATTTTATTACATTCTAGCTTATTGTAATTATTATTATATCCATATATTAAGTAAATGTAAATAGCCAGGTATGATAACATGCACCTTTAACCCCAGCACTTAGGAATCAGAAGCAGACAAATCTCTGATCTGCAGAGTGAGTTTCTGGACAGCCAGGGCTACACAGAGGAACTTTGTGTCAGTATATATATTTTAGATCAACATGCAGTTTTTGTTTCCCTGAACAAATTCTGGGGAAGTGGTAAAGTCGTACAGTGTGACAAAGCATGTGAATGAGAGTTTCAAACAAGTGTGGATATTCTTTGGTCAAGGAAATTTGAAATAAAGAAAATCTATATGCTTTTCTCTCAAGCACGTGATTTGTTGAGTCTTAATGTAGGTTTAATATGTAATGTGAAAAAACAAATTATAAAGCCACATATGTTTTTAGTCTTAAATGATACAGAAATTTAGAGGATGAAGATACCAATCATACAGAATGTGAATGATTTCTTGGGTACAGGAATCATGAAGTTGGTGGATAAGGATGACGAAGAATTGAAAAAATAAATGCTGGAAGTCCATTACTTGAATAAGTTTAACAGTTCTTAAAATTATCAGACTTTCAGTTGCTACATCCAAAAGCATGAGGAATACCCTGTTCATTATTGAATAGAGTATGTGAAGAAAATGTGTACTAGACATGGCAACCCTTCCTTGATGGAACAAATAAATCAATCTTGTTTTCACAGAAAATTTGCCTGCTGAATTAAAGTATCTTATAATTTTGTATTTTCTAGTTAGTTGCACAAAAACAGAGAACTATGAAGAGTATCAAAGAGAGAGACAACAGTGAAAAATAAAGAAAATAAACTTATATGAGATATAAATTAAAATCACACTGAACAAAATTGGGTCTCTCACTACATGTTTTTAATGTTAACCAACTTCACCGTGTCTCTAAAACTCATTAAGAGTTAAATATTGGAATAATTGAATAATAAAACCTTAAGTACATAATGGTTTGCTGTCTAAAAGATAGTATAAGAGAAACTGTAAAACAATTGGCCAATTGTGTTCAGTGTCAACTTAGACTTATCTACACATTATAAAGGCACATTAAAATCTTTCCAATTTGACTTTGGGTTAGGTCCTTTTCTTCTGGACATTCTGACTTTGCAAGAACAGTTGTAATTCTACTTGGGATAATAATTCAGTTATCAACATTTTGTAATTATTGATTAATTGACATCTGAAGGAACTATTTTCAATATAATATAACTTTCTGGGTTCAGTGACTAAAAGCTGATGTCCTTGCAGGTTATTCTTTATCCATCAGTAAACATGGCCTAATGGAACACGTGCCTTCTTTTCAATATTCTTATTTTGTCACCTAAACTATAACCTTTAACAAGAAATCAAGTTTAAAATACTCACGTATTAAAATAGACAAAACAATTTAATCTCCTGTAATGTGCTTGCACAGAAAGACGTGGGACTCATCTTTATATTTCTAATGTGATCAATTGTGTTGACCATGTAAATGGACTACATTATGCTAATGAATGAATGAAATTTATTCAGTGTGAAGATCAGTTATATACTTGCTGTAAATGATCAAATTTAGAAATGTACTTTGACAAACGCTTTAGGAAACATTTCTGTGGCTGGTCTGTCATAGGGCAACAAACACTGATAAGGTTCCTAACATCTTTTACATACATTGCTCTCCAAAACAGTTGTAGAATAAGTAAATTGTCAACATTTAGTCAAGAAACAAACAGGTAAGAAGGTTTGGAGAAGACTCTTCCAGAAACAGATAATTTATTTCATCATCTATTCCAACAGGGAGAAGCATTATTCCCCAGTACAGGGTAACTTCACTTAAATGCTTTTCTATATGCATTTGGAAACTTCTAAAATTGTAGGTTTCTAGAACTGGAAAGATGACTCAGTGGTTAAGAATGATTACTATCGGGAAGATTCTTCCTTCAGAAGTCCACAAGGCCTCAGCCCTACACAAAGAACTACAGGCAACTGAATAAAGCTGGTAGCAAGTGAGGTGGTTCCCAGGGACCTATGTGGTGGTATTGTGTTCCCCAAAATATTGTGCACGCTAATAAACTTACCTGGGGTCAGATAAGAGAACAGCCACAATATTAAACATGGAGGACAGGCAGTGGTAGCACACGCCTTTAAACCTAGCATTCCAGAGGCAGAAATCCATGTGTTCAAGGACACAGCCAAGCATGGTGACTCACACCTTTAATCCCAGAAAGCGAGCCTTTAATCCTAGGGAGTGGTGGTAGAAAGCAGAAAGGTATATAAGGCATGAGGAC